AATTAAAGAAGTGCAACCCAATGATTTTTCATAAAATACTTAAGTTAAAGTTGATATTTTTCATATATAATATTTTCGAGCAAATTTTGTATTCCTTATTTTGTTACTTAACAAAATACATATTTTTGTACTAATTTTAATAATATGCATTTTCACCCTCGTCTGCTTAATGTTGGGCGTTGGATTAATGTTTGGTCAAAGTCATAGTTGATGACCAACTTGTTCAATCTGCCAGAAGTTTGTTTATGTTTGCTTGTCAAATTGATCGATTTAAAAATATTTAAAAACAAATATTATTTTTATTATATTAACAATGAAATTCATTCAAAATGTATATTTCAATATTGATTGATTTGTGGGGCCTATTCAAGAGGCAAGGGTTGTAGCTAACCATTGGACCATCACATTGCTGGAAATTGGATTAGCTAGAAAAAACTGAGGTGGAAAGCAAAGCTACAAGGCTACATTAGTATCAAGTAGCTCAACGCCTCAACATAACTTCCATATATTCAACTTTCTTAAGAGTCCTTTCTTTTTATTTGGCTATTACTAATTAGTCATTATGAATGGAGTTGAGAAATTCTATCTCGCCTTTTCAAATCTACCATGTGGAGTAATTAATAGGTTCTGTTTTTGTAATTATAAATAGTCAATAAACACCTCTTATAAATGACAAATTCAAAGAATGAAACAAAAAAAAAAGAGAGAGAAAGGATGTGACACACGAGATTTGAACTCTAAATTACCCAAAATATTACTTCATGTTTAAAAGTGTTGGGAAAACACGACCCCCGACCTCTTCCAGGATCACCAGCTCAAAAGACTCTTGTACATTTACCCACCCACTCGTAACACAAAGATTCAATCTAACAATATCACTTTGTATTATACAATTGAAATGTACAAGAGATATTTTACAAGTAAACGGGTAGCTCACATCACTCTTTGTATGAGACTACTTCACTCTCACATCCCTCTCTAGAGGAGGCCTTCACTTACTCAATAGCCCTCCTCAAGGATCTCTCTCTCATCACTTGAGGAGGCTCTCTCTAGCCTCTCACTCTAGGACCTCCTCATGGCTCTTACTCTAGAGGCTCACTCTTAGGAATGAAGAGTGTCACCCCTATTTATACTATTCTTCTCAAAGCTTCTCTAGAACATTCTGGAGCAGTGTGGAGTTCTCTAGATCCTTCTAGAAGATTAGAAAAGCTTGTGGATAGTTCTTGGAAGAATCTAGAAATGTAGTGATGTATAGAAAGTTCTAGAGAAACTTTGAGAAGAGTAATATAAATAGGGGTGACACTCTTCATTCCTAAGAGTGAACGTCTAGAGTGAGAGCTGTGAAGAGGTCCTAAAGTGAGAGGCTAGAGAGAGCCTCCTCAAGTGATGAGAGAGAGATCCTTGAGGAGGGCTATAGAGTAAGTGAAGGCCTCCTCTAGAGAAAGATGTGAGAGCGAAGTAGTCGCATACAAAGAGTGATGTGAGCTACCCGTTTACTTGTAAAATATCTCTTGTATATTTCAATTGTATAATACAAAGTGATATTGTTAGATTGAATCTTTGTGTTACGAGTGGGTGGGTAAATGTACAAGAGTCCTTTGAGCTGGTGATCCTGGAAGAGGTCGGGGGTCGTGTTTTCCCCAACAAAAAGATTTCACCAATTTCGGAAATTTTGTGTTCTTTTTTAACTCATGAACAAAAGAATTTATGCATCCGAGGCAATATTTAACGTGCAGACTAAAAAAAGTCGGTAAGAATAAAAAAAGTTAGGCAAAGTATCAGCACAAAGAACGATGTTACTCAAATTTTGTCAAACACAAATCAGATAAATGTCATGCAACTAACCCTTTAAGAAGAGAACATTAGGTCCTAATCTCTGTTCTAAAAATCGTTCTAGGCGCCCGATTAGTCCCCGCCTAGGCGCTAGGCGGTGGCCGGACGCCCCGATTTTCGTCTAGGCGCTCTGACTAATTGGTTTGCCGCCTAGGTGAATTAGTCGCTCGCCTATAGCGCCTAGTTGCCCGCCTAGAGCGCCTAATCGGCCGCCTAGACCGTCTAGATTTGTTGAACATTACTTTACATTTTAATTTTAATTTCCAAGTGATATACGTATTTTAACTTTACCCATGGATATAAAGAAATGAAGTTGTAAATTAAGATAAAACTATACACGTTTGTATATATTCTTAAATTTTATCATTATTTATATTTATAACACAATGAAGTTAAGTGATTAGTTATCATATACTACATATGATTAAATGTGATAATTCTATCTTTCATGTTTGTTTATGTATATGTATATATGTATTTTATACACACAAAAATACAATATTACTTATCATATTTATGCAAAAATATAGATAAAAATGCAATTTCTATGTCTCCGACTAGTCCCCGACTAGGCGCCCGTCTAGCCGCCTAGCCACTAGACGCTGGGGTGGCGCCCGACTAGCGCCTAGCGCCTTTTAGAACATTGGTCCTAATAAAGCTTTTTTCACGAATATAATGATCCCTAAATAAATCTACCCGGCCGTGATGTGTAACTGAATGAACAATTGAATTAGAATGGTAAAAATAATTACCATTAATTGAATTAGAATCCAGTGATTCCAGAGCTAAAAACAAAATTACCATTAATTGAATTAGAATTCAGTGATTCCAGAGCTAAAAACAATGAGAACTGATCCACGAATTGTTTGTGACCGAACCAAACCGAACCGTACCAAATTATACTAAATAGAACCAAAACCGGACCATATGCAATTTGATTTGAGTTTGATAGTATATTAAAACCGATGTAAACCAAACAAAACTGAAACCGATGTAACCGAACAAAACTGAATTGAACTAAATAAATTCAATAAAACCTTCACGTATATATTATTAAAAATTAACAACTTCAAACCAAACTAAACCGAACCAAACCATACCAACACCGAACAGACCGAAACCGATAAGAACCAACCGAAAATCGATATGCCCACTCCTAATCTAATTTATCAAACATTGTTTCACAACCCGTCAACTTAGTCCGTCAGCCAAATCCTCCAATTAAATTTGATATCAATTATCCGCTAACACAATTCCCTAAGCACTAACGGCTAAATTCCGATTGTCGGTTAGGTCCAAAAAGTTAATCATTCTTAAGTATTTCATATGTGAGATTAATCATACATGTAGAATAACATTGATATTGTTATTTTTGTACCTATTTTTTTCTTATACTATTTTAATTAATATTCTTACACATATTAATTATAAGAGTTCGTTTAATGTTTCACTAATGACTATTTCATTGAAGGGAAAATAATTTATGTGATTTCCAACCATAGTATCTATCTGTATATTTATATATATAGAACTTATATATAAAGATACGGAGTACTACGTATATGGTCGGAATAATAAAATATGGAGTAACAAAGTCGTTATATATAATATATAATAGCGCTTCATGTAACAAGTTATTTGTCCAGTTCAGCTGTAGCATTGGCAATTTGAGCATTCGAATCCGGGTTCAACTCCCGGCAGCTGAGTACATTTTTTTGCTTTAATTTTTTTGCCCCAAGCTTATAGCCTTATATAGCTATATTTTCTCTTATTTATTCTCTTATTTTAAGAATAATAACACTCCGTGATATTTATGAGTTGTTGGATTCTTTTAGAGCAAGTGAACTACGAAAACAATATATAAAAACATAATTATATACGGAGTATAAATGTATGTGTCACTGCTATATACATACTCGTCATTAACTATGTATGATACGTAGTATGTTTTTATCATTACAGTTACAGAATGTTGTACTCACTACTCCGTAGCTTTCATGGCCAAATTGAAACAACCAATTGTTTGTTTGGATAGTAAACAACTTATTCATGATTGTTAATTACAAAGTAGGCAAATTTCAAAATGCCTCCAATTTTTTAATATCATACTACATTTAAAAGGTTGATATTATTAAGGTAATCATAAAAAATAAACATGTTCAATCTCGATACATACATAACTTCACCAATAACTTGTATCATATATACATTATTCTTCTCCATTTTAAAAACTTCTACATCAGAAAGTCATTACACTATCACGAGTTTAGGTTATACCTATATAAGCTTTTTACTTTAATAAATTTTAAATGAAAATAGTAAAAATTTAAGGGACAATAAAGAAGAATTTTTCTACCATCCCTTTTTAAAAAAAAGGGATGGTAGAAAATTTGAACATATTTCAACCTTGATCGAACATGTCACACCTTGTAGACCTTCAAACTTGATCGACCTCAAACTTATTTAGTTATTTGAACTTCAAACATGGTCGGGCATGTCAAACCAGACTGAACCCGGCTCATTCAACCTCATTCAAACTCGGCTAAATCCGTTTCAAATTAAAGTAGCATTTGAATTCACTTCCAAATAAATTAATTTGTTCCATTTTAACTTAAACGACACCACTTTGTTCATGGATTTTACGTAATTTCAATCATTTGAAAAAGGGGATAGTTTCATGACAAGTATTCTTCTCTAGGCTATTTTGATAAAAATTTAAGATAATTTACTATTTACATCAACTCTTTGACATATTTTTATAAATAAAATGCTTTATTTTTGTAATACCATGTTTAGTGGTTTTTTTTGAAAGGACCATGTTTAGTGGTTTGGGAATGAGACTTTAAATGTACCTAACGTGAACATATCAATAGATTCAATAATAGTCAATACTACGTATTATACACACTTCTAAGATTTTTTTGATGACCAATGACATTTTGTGATCTTTTTTTATCATTTTAAAAACACATTTTATTTGAATGTTGCAAAAGAAAAAGGTGTGACAAGTACTTGATCTTTTTTCTTTGGAGAGGTATAAACGATTAAAGAATGAAGCACTTGGAGGAGAGAGGGCGGTCAATTCCCTCTGTTCATTCAGTCTATAAATAAATGATGCATATAATATAAATATATAAGATCCAACCACCCAAAAAGCTATTAGAACCTAATTAATATTACGTTATTCAGTCTTAAAGAAAGAAATACAGTAACAGCATACTTAGAAAGCTACGTAGTATTTGTTAACGAATTAAACGACAAGGTTAAAACTAGCACAATTATGGCAGTCTTTTATAACCAACTAAGTTTTTTAAGACAATCAAAATAAATAAGAGTTCAGGTCAGTATAAAACTATGAAGTAGTTTTAAAATCTTGAACTTTAAACCAAAATGCAGCAGTAAACAAATGAACTTCATTGGAGAATGAGTATGGTCTTTTTTCCTGAGATCATTCGTGGAGAACAACTATGGCTTTTTCAGAAGATCTTGGATAACTAAGCACCGTTTGAACTATCTGGGGAACATCTGAAGGGAAATTAGTCAAATCTTTGTCATAATCGATCACCATCTTCTCCAAAGCCGTAGCTCTCTTAAGCAAGATTCGAGCCACCGTTAGCATTGGCTCGCCGGCAAGATAAGGATTTGCATAGCCTACGAAATGAACAACCTTCAAATGCAACAAATCACAAACTAAATCATCCCTCGCCACTGGTCCTTGGGCCGTGACAGATTCCTAGATGAACAAAATAAGAGAAACTTAGGCCAAACCAAACTTGAAACATCATTTCTATGTTATGCATTCATATAATATGGGGCTCTTAGATAAAGTTCGACATAACAAACAAAAGTATCATATTGTTAAATCATTCCACATCAACAAAATGTAAAGATAAATACACACATGCAAAACCTTAAACTACTTCTAAGAAGTTGACCTGAATAGAACTCTTCAATATGATCAAGTGCACGCGAATTTCGAAATCGGTAACCTTTAACAAGCCACTATCTTGTGGACAGAACAATCATAAGGATATAAACTCACATGCAAGACCTAAGACTACCCTCCAATCATGCTGTCCTTCAATATAAAACCCCAAGTTTAAGGATGTTTTTACTTAGACTGTAATTTGCTGGTCTGGTCTGGTTTCTTTGTATTTTTATAACTATCCAAGTTTGGTCTGTTCTAATCTGAGACAAATTACGATTCAAGTAAAAACATCCTAAGTGTTAATTTATCGTAGTGTTAGAAGCAGCAAATACACTATATTTGAATGAAAGCCACAATTACAGAAAAGAATGTTATATAGATTCAAGCCAAGAATGAGAGGCACTATTAGATACCTCACAAGAGTCACAGCACTGTATGACCAATGTGTTCAGTTTCGTAGAAGATTCGAGCAGGCCTACAATGGCAGGAATGCTATTGCTATCTCTCCATGTATCTATTACCAAATTGTCTTGCCGAGATTGTGGAAGCCGCCAACCATGCACCACCATGTTTGATATAACCTAAAATTGTAACATATGTAATTATGTATACATAGTAACATGCTTAAAGCAGAGTAGAAAGATGGGGGCGACATGGTAAAAAGTTTAGAAAATAGAAAAACAACAATTTATGACTATATGAGAGAAAGGAACCTTATCACCCTAGGACAAGGACAATATGGTCTCATCTGAATAAACCAGATTTTAGCTCTATCTCTAAAGTCTTAACTCGCTTGGAGGAATATATTAATGCCAAGAGCTTTGATGAAATTTATTTCAGAAATTGACCTAAATAGGAGTAAAAACGTTTTCAAATTCCGAACTAGGAGTATCATGTTTTTATTCCCTAAATAGGAGTAAATTTCTGCCAAGTTTGGCATTACAAGGCTTTTAAACATGACATTTTCTTCCAAACTTGGCAGATTACTCTGGAATAAAAAACATGATACTCCTATTTTGGAATTTTGAAATGTTTTTACTCCTATTTAGGGAATTCTCTCTAGTAATGAAACTGCAGAGCACATGTTCTTCCTCTTCCCTTATTCTGCTAAAGTGTTGAACGAAACAAGGGCGGTCTTGACAAGAACAAAGGCACCACAGCAACCAAAATGGGGTACCCCATTCTTACCTCGACTTAATGTGTGGCCACAAATGGGCTAACACATTTAAGTGGTGCCCCACTTAAATGCGTTGCCCCATTTGTGGCCACAAATTAGGCCGGGGTAAGAATGGGTACCCCATTTTGGGGGTACCTATAGCATTTCTCACAAATCTTTAGGATTAGCAAGAAGGGAGAAAGGATTGGGGATCCAAAGAAGATTATAGCATTACTTGTACAGTTTACTCTATTTAAATAACTAAAAATATGAAGCTTTGGTTATTTAATTTAAAATAATGTGCTTCATACTACCTCCGTTATTAAATAATTGCACCATGTAAATAATTGCAGTATCATTAAGCAAAACTGAATTTAGTACCCAAATCCACTGTCCCTTATTAAATAATTGCACCAGTTTAGCTTAACGACACACCTCAATGAAACCACATCCAAGTAAGAGCACTTTGACATGCTGAAGCTTTTCAAGAAGTTCCATGCTGTTATTCATCACATCCACAGAGCTACGAGACACGCTGAAATCAATATTAGCATCAACAACAGATGGTATGTTGCTCAGCTGCATCTTTGTTCTTGAAAGATGAAATCCGATATTCAATGTCCTGATATAGGGTGCTGAGATTTCTACCAACTGTTTACTCATCTTATCTTCGTGCACTGATACACCAAGTGAGGCAAGACTTCGAGAGTTGACCTCCAGAAAATTGAATCCCCAACATTCTGTCAGACGTAAACTATCCAGAACTGGACAACCAGATAATATCTTTTGAACTACATCATCTCGCAACTCTACATCTTCAATCTGCAGATGAGACAAAGATTGCCACTCAATTGTTCTATGAGGAGCCACAGTGCATCTTTCCAACCACAATGATGTCAAAGACGAATTAGAAAACAACGTTTGAGGAAGCATATAGAAGTGTTCATCGGATTTTAGCAATAAAGTAAGCTCTTTCACCTTACTTTTGATAGCAAATTGAACCCAAGCATTTACATCCGAAGCAAAGTAGTTATTGTACCTAAATAGAACCCTAAAACTTTCCAAACAAGTTGCACCACGAAGAAGACGAAGAAGAAGGGCCCTGTGAACCCAAGGCACAAAATCTACTCCTTTCGGATGTCCCCAAAAGTCTAGGCTAGGCAATTCGGTCCACAGAAATTGCCACCTTCTGGACAACACCGAGAGACTAGCGGCTTCATCCATACTAAGTTGGGAGAGAATATGAATAAGCAAGGAATCTGGCAATGCGCTAAGACGATCAATCCTCATCTCTTTAACCCGTTTGTTTGAGGATGACGCTGAAATTGCTTCCCTGACATTGTTCACTAAATGGCTCCTTTCCTCTTCGCCATATATTCATTTTCATCCCCTGCTCTTACTTCATTTCTATCTCCCTGCTCTTCCCTAAATTCTGGCACTCTTTTGTCGTTCATTGCGATTTTAAAGAATTTTTTATTTTTATTTTTATATATGGTACACCCGTATGTACGTATACATCCCGTATTTTTGCAATTAGTTGCAAGTTTGCAACTTTGATAGGCTGGGGCGCGGGAGCAACTCGCTTTTAATTTTCAATTACGGCTCCACTCCTGCACATCTTTAGTCTTTACTTTTCCACTTCGTACGTTTTTTTGTCCTTATTTCACTTCCACTTCTTACGTTCCTTTTTTTCTTTTCATTTGTTTATTCTTTTTTTTTGTTTTTTGTTTGTTCTTTTGTTTTTAGAAAACTTCTACTTTAATATTATATTCAATTAATGTATAAAATAAAATACAATTAAATGTTTCAGTTTACTTTTAAAATAAAATAGTATTAAATGTTTCTGTTTATTTTTTAGATTCATGTAAGAGATGGTTATAGATATAGGAGCACATACCATAATACCCAACTGCATGTTTTCAATACTCAATAGAGAAGATTTGATGCTCAATAAAAATGTCTCGAAGACAAACTTAAAAAATTATGATTTTCATATCAATACTCATTTTGTAAGTTACATTTGTTCAATTTGCAATCATATTATGCTCATTTTTAAAATCTCATACTCATGCAAATTTTAAAAGTTGCATATGTCATTAGATTCACATTGTTAAGTTCCTAATACTCAACTAAATAAGCATGATGCTCATCGAAAGTGTTTTAATGCTCATCTGGTACTGATCTTATGCTCATTTTCTAAATGTCATATCAATGCATTTGGTTTAAAATACTATTTCACATTAGATTCACAAACCTTGTGTTTTTCATATCAATGTGCACTTTGTAAGTTATGTATGCTCATTTGGTACTGATGTTATGCTCATTTGTAAAATGTCATACTAATGCATATTTCAAAAGTACTTCGTTTTATATAAGCAAATTAACTTACCAATGCGCATTGATATGAAAATTGTCAGGTTTGTTAGTTGAGTATCACGACACTTTCATTGAGCATCAAAACTTCTCTTTTGAGATGAAAATTATAGTTTCTGCTAAATGAGCAATAACGCACTTTTAATGGGCATCATACTTATTATGTTGAGTATTAGGAGTCTAATATTCAGAATCGTGGTCTCTGTTTCACAACTTCTAATTCATTTTTTTGTTATTTTTTCTTTAATAGAAACTTGTTAAATTTTATGTATAAACATGCAATTCCTATGAATTTTAATATACGACTTTAATGTGATATGATACTTTTGAAATATGCGTTTATATGACATTTTACAAATGAACATAACATTAGTATCAAATGAGCATATACAACTTACAAAATGCGCATTAATATGAAAATCGTAAGATTTATTACTTGAATGTCACGACATTTTCATTGAGCATCAAACCTCTTCTTTTGAGATGAAAATCACGGTTTTTGTCAAATGAACATTCATGAACTTTTACTGAGCATTACACTTATTCTGTTGAGTATTAAAAGTATAATATTGAGTATCATGATACTTTTGAAATATGAACTTTTTACATGTCATTTATAAAATGTGCATATGATGAGTATTAGATGAGCATACTTAACTTACAAAATGAGTATTAATGAATTTGTTAGTTGTTTTGTGAGTTGGCATCACGACATTTTCATTAAGCATCAAACCCCCTCTATTGAAATTAATGAAAATCATGATTTCTATTAAATGAGCATTAATGAATTCTTAATGAGCATCATGCCTGTACAAATGAGCATATGCAACTTTATAAAATGAGCATATGATCAGTATCAGATGAACATACGTAACTTACACAATGAGTATTAATGAATTTGTTAGTTGCTTTGTTAGTTGAGCATCACGAAATTTTCATTAAGCATCAAACCCCCTCTATTGAAATTAATGAAAATCATGATTTCTATTAAATGAGCATTAATGAATTTTTAATGAGCATCAAACCTATACAAATGAGCATATGTAACTTACAAGATGAGACCACAAATCATGATACTCAAACACACGATTCTAATACTCAATAACGGAGGTTGGAGTAATATGCATTGATATAACATTTTAAAATGAGCATAACAGATGTACTAAATGGTAATTTACAAAATGAGTTTTCAAAAAATCAAAAGCTCGTTTGTGTATGTTCATTTTATTTAGGCATTTTACCCATTTGAGTTTAAAATAAAACTCATTTCTAACATGCTCGGTATTTACGGAGTAATATATAAAGCAAAAAAAGAAGGAAACAACAAATAAAGAAATTAAATGAAATAAAAGAAAAAAGACAAAGTAAAAGAAAGTAAAAATACAAAAGTAACGAAAAACATAAAATCAAAAACACAAAATTAAAAAGTTATAGAAAACCAAATATGTAGGAAACGTATGTGTTTATTATTTTGCTCTGCTTGTGTAAAACGAACTATCATGGCGGCGTGAGTGCGTGACTTTGATATCCAGATTTGAACAGGACTACCGAATTTGATTTTCCGAAGCCTTGCTCCTGGCTTATATGCGATGACGGCGGAATAAGAAATTAAAGCAACTGAGAGCGAACAGATGATTCAGCATGCCACGTCATTTAAAAACCGGGTGTACATGTACACCCGGGTGTATAATATAATTTGTGGTCATATGAAAGGTAATAAAAAGTTATGAATTTTGATATATTTTTTATAAAAATCAGAGCACAAATAAAAAGGTTATATCAATTTTAAATAAAAATGGGATTTCAATTATTGGTGGGGCCCATCTCATTTAAATAAAAATCAGAGCATAGTAGATCAGTGGTTCTTGCCTTCATATACAAATGAGAGGTTGTTGGTTCGGCTCTTACCAATGAAATAATTTTACCGGTGGACGTATCTCAACTGATAGCGAGGGATTGGCACAAGGACAGTGCCGTCTCTAGCAGTTTTGATGCCCTAGACAAAAAGTGACCAATAGGATTATTCTTATTGTATTCAAAGTTTTTTACTTTAATTCATTTGCGTGGCTCTAATTCATTCTTACTTTGTTCTCACTTTATCAACTCTTTATCAATCACATAATTCTAGATTGAGGACAGAGGTAGTGGTTTTTTTCAATAATGTATTTAATTTAACAAATTTCTAGATTGAATTTTAAACTTGAATTTATGAACATGATCTACACTACATAAAGAATATGCTCATGAATTTTCATCAAAGAAATTCACACAAAAAGATCTCAAACAATTCCACCAAAAAATGATTAGTTTAGGGCTGAAAAATCGGTCTACTCACACCTATTATATAGAACTAATAAGTTCAAACGTAGACATAAATTTTTTACTCACTTTTGGAGATTAGTCACTTTTAAATTAAAAACCAATCTTGAATATTGTTAAAGCCTGTTTTAGCATGCTTCATATTATCCTTTCCTAAATCTCCATTATGCCACTCCTAAAATCACTTCGTAGTACATTTTAAAATACCACTAATCTTCATTATTATCCTCTGAGATATCAGGTCTGCTAGTACTGTTTCCCATTTTATCAAAAATAAATTGTGCCCCTGCCATTGAATAAAATGTAATTATAGTAGAGCATGAGAATAGTGAAAAATTCAAGATATTGCAAATTTGTAACTAAAAAGAAAAGGAAAATAATACATATTACTATCATGAAAAAGAAATAGGAATATGTTGAATATAGCACGGAACTAAATATAATAAAATTATTATATATCCATTACCAAATCTCAGCTCAAGAAGGCAAAATAATTGGATATATAACAAATTGTCTCTTCTCCATTGTTCTGAATCTTAGCCTGGATTATAATATGCAAACTCTGCTTGTGCCCCTACCACATCCTATTGCTACGGTTTGTCTCTAGTCTCCACAAATGCTATGAATCAGGTTTCCCAACCTGCGATCCAAGAATGGCCAATAATTTTTGAAGCTCTACCCGAAGTGATTGACTTCAGAATTCCATGAAAGAAATGATTAAATCAAACTTTATGAAATCATTATATTCTCTATATAGTTACTAAAAGTAAATCAAAACATATTAGTACTCTGTAATAAGTACACACATAAGATTCGCAAAACTCTTCATTTTATTCAATCTGTCAAAGTTTCATAATCTTTTACTGCATTATAGACAAAAAAATTGCATTCTCGCTTATTTCCATCACTATATTTTTTGGCATGAAATGAAAAAGTATCAAAACACTTCAACAAAACAATAAGCAATAAAGAAAAGAAATATTAGAAGTGAATCACATTTACTTAAAAGATTCACCAGACTATTTTTTTATCCTATGCTAAAAAATTCATCATTTTTTTTAACGAAGATAGCCATAGTTGGTGTAGCGTGTTAAAATAATTTTAAAGGAATAAGTAATGAAAGATAGACTAATTTTCATTGTTAAGTAATAAATTATGTTGTAATATGTCCTTCCTATGATGTACAATTGTGTATTGCACTACACTTTTTTGTTAGACCCAACGCAACATGAGTTGGGCACACACTCCATGTGGAAAAGCACTGCTAAAGATCCAATAATCAAACATAAGTTGCAATAATAACAACCTTATCAATCCAAAAGAAAAAAGTAGTTTAGAACCTAATTACCATTTCTACTAAATAATATTCCCCTTTTGCACTAAAAATGTAATTCAATTATACCGAGTACTAACTTTGCCAAATTCTGAAATTTTATGTTGTCCTGTGCATACTTGAAGTTTTGGTGCTTGTTAGGTTTCTGCAACCAAGTAGCGGCACTAAATAAATACAGTAGTTTTTGTTTATATACGTAGTATTATATTTCATGATATGCTATAATTAACATTTAAAATAAATTTTAAAATTGTCAATCTACCTCAAGAAGTAAACTTATTGGTCAAAACAAAAAGGGAATCTCGGGACAATTATTATTCACACCAACAGAGGAGAATAGACAGACCTAAAACGAATAGGAAAATTGACAATATAGGGAGTTTTAGATATGATTGAGTTTAATCTTATGCATTTCAGAACTCTT